TAGTCAAATTAAAGGATGGCTTTATAGCTGCATGGAAAGTATAGATTTTGAGGTTCGATCCCACCTGTGCCTTCCTTCTAGAGCTACCTCCCTATCCCATGTTCTGTGCTTCTGCTGATACCACCACTAAATGTCCCAGCATTCGTCACAGTAAAGCCGCCCTTTACTACAATCTCCTCTGAAAATTTGCTAATTATTTTTCCTACTTGCTACTAAGCTCGTTCTTCTCCTTTCTCATCATTAACATGTTCACCTGTGTACGTATTAGGTGTCTTGACTGTTCAAACCACTGATCTCAAATAAACCCTTCCTGTAACAAGAATAGAACTAAAAAGGAATTCATTACACTGGGAAGAAAGAGGCATTCAGTGAGTATTTCTGTGAAAGAAGCAATAAATGTTTGGCAATAGGTAAGTGTGTAGGAAGCCTCTGATTAAAAACACACTAATCGTGTAAAGAAAGCTCCACTTTTTTATTACTCACTCAGAACTTTACTTCCACAGCCACGTCTGGAGGGATTATGCACACCTAGAAGCACAGCACAGTGGCCAGTGGATCTTATTCAGCAAAAAAGGACCAGATCTTCACAGTTTCTTGATTTCATTTAGCAGCGCAGAAGAAAAAAAAACCCAAATTCTCTGTTAGTGAAGATGAACCTTTATGCTCGCGAGCAGAAGTGGGCCAGGCAGTTAGTGATTCACAGAAGGAAAAAGGACAGTTTTAAAGAGTGATGACTGGCTTTGTCCTCCTTCTGCATGGCTGGGAACTACAAAAAATAGGCCTGTAGCGGAGATTAAAAGGACAACAGAAAGGTGCTCCTAGCTTGCCTTGTTAATGTGATCAAGAGAGGCAGAATGAAGGAAGCTGAGCACATGTGGCTTGTGGCACAGTTAGCTGTTTGCTTTGTTCTCCTCAGCTGCTATTCCATCCTCAGAATATCTGCTCTTCTCATAGCTGAGGACTACGGAGTAATCGCTTTCCTATGCACAAGCATCTTCTCTATCATTCTTGTCTTCAGTAACCACATCCAAAGCGTGTCACTGAGGTCCAGGCAGAGGGGAAGTACTTCTGGCATGTGGCTGACTTGCCCGTCTGTCAGTCAGGGCTTTATATTCCGACTCCTTGGCCTTTGCTGCTTCACCGTGCTTGAGCAGGGTTACACGCCAGAGCGGGTTGGGAGAAGCTGAGCTTTTCTTTATGCTCCCTGCTGGCCTGCGTTTCTGTTACTCCACAGTGACACAAAGGGCAAATCGGACCCAGGTGTAGAAAATTTGGCTGCTATGTTGGGAAACAGCTGTGGAGGAAAAAGTCCAATACGGTGACCGGATCTGAGTGCTGTGCAGCAGTGTGACAGCAGAGAAGTCAGCGGCAATGAAAAGTCTGGAACGCCACTGCTTTGCAGCTGGGAGAGACATGCTGGAAACCTGCAGCACGCGCAGTTGTTAGCTTACGCATTGCGCAGAACTCAAGGGAGAGTCCGAATGAAGTTGCTGTTGCACAGCCTTTGTCTCAAAGCTGGAATTAATGGATAAATGCGTTGCTCACACAGCTGTCAGCACCGTGAACGGAGGGGTGGAAGGAGAGCCAGGGGCTGACTGACAGCCCAGCACAACAGAATGGGCTGGTGCTGGGTCTGCAGGTTTGGGAGGAGGATACACTGTTCAGCAGAGGCTTAAGCACAGGCTGGGTGAAGGGTATTGATGGCTAGATACGGCCAGCCTATTGCCCTAGGGGACAGTGCTTTTCTTGACTGTTGAAAATAGCAACAGTGCTGACTGCAGCTGCAGCCTCACTTCTTGTAAATGACTTCAATCATAACAGAATTAGCGTGACCACAGCTTCGCAGTGGGTAAGGTTATGCTTCTCATTCAAGAGGCTCCTGCTGAGCATTCGGTAACCCTTCACAGCTAAAGCAGCCAGGTTCTCTGAACACCTACAGTCCCATTAGCTCTGTTCGTTAGCAAGTGTTTTACAGCTGCAGCATGGTATGTAAATTAACCTCCTCTGAAAGCAGACATCTGTTTCAGTCTTTAAGAAAGCGAGGGAGCCTCAGTGTTGCTGCCTACACAGTCAGAGGAGCACTGCATGGGCACAGGGCTGGGGGTGTCCCAGCAGGACCCTGCTGCTCCCGGTGGGAGACAGACCCCCACGGTCGGGGCGGGAGGCACAGCCACGCTGCGAATGGCACTAGTTTAAAGCTGTCCCTTCCCCACTGACTATAAATACTGCACTCTCTTCAGCAGAACGTGGCTTTGCTCTGCTCCTGAGCATGGCTCAGATTCTTCCGCAGTCCTTTACCAGATTCACTGTTTACTTCACTTTCTAGCCACAGCCAGGAGGGGAAAGGTCAGAGGCAAGAGCTGGGCAAGAGGGAGAGGGACTGGAAGCATCGCTCTTCACATACTATTTAGCAGGGAGGATTAAAATCACTGCACTGATACGTGTTTCCCTTGCATTAGGTGCAGAGTACAGCAAATTCCCTGTTTGACCTTGCTGGTAATTTACTAAACAGAGGACAGGAGATTCGACAGCTGGTATCACTACAGAGATCTTCAGGAGGCTCCTGCTGTGCCCCTTAGATGTGCCAGAGTCCTCAAACCAGTGCATGCAGGTCAGCAGACATTTCAGAGTCCTGCGTTAGCCCTTGCAGAGGGCAGCTCAGAGTGACACTGTGAACGCACAAACTGTGGTTGGGATTTCTTAGTTGCTTTGGAGCAACCTAGGAATACCTGCTAGAAAGCGGATCTGCTTGGCCACTGGATGGTATGCTGGGGAGCGTGAGAGAGAGGGAAAGGAAGGAAGGGGAAGGAGAATAAGGCAGGTGAAAAGATACATAGTTCAAAAATACAAGCCAGCTTTTTCTTCTCTTTCCTCAAGAGACCTTCTACGCAATTATGACTTTCTTGTCCTTATTTATGGTTTTGATTAAATTTTTTTCTGAGCTATCCCACATTTGCATTTCATATTAAACACAAAATAAAGGGTTTAGGCACTTCACAGGGGACGATACGGATCATTTCTGCTAAACTTACTCTAGAGCAATAGAAGGGAGAAAGAAAATCGGTTTGTTTCTGCCAGGAGGAAAACAAAATGGGCTCAGCCCTGATGCTTTTCATTCCATGCCACTCAGTGGGAAGCCCCTTACCCTGTATCTAGGTCTAGTTTTGGTTTTTTTCAGGAGTAGTGGAGAATCTTCTAAGCTACATTGTGCTTGTTCTACCACTAATGCTGTCATGTGCGCGCTGATTTATACAGCAAGACAAGAGTCACTAGTTTGGGGCCCGAAGGGTTAAAAGATACTGCAGTGTGGGGCTGGGAAAAGAGGACAGAGAAAGGGATAACAATCTCTGCTGACAGCAAACCAGTTTGGCAGCCTTCACCCTAAAGGACTTCCCCCCCTTCCAATTTAGAACTATTCACATTCAGGCAGTCCTTTGCTCTCCTCTCTGCTGCATAGCATGGTATTCACTGCTTCCCCAATTTATGTCCCTGCAGCTGCTGTGGGAAAATACATCATTCGGCAGCGAATTCCAGCTTCAGAATGAAGCAGGTGCTGTCTGCTTGTCTCAGCCAGGGATGGCTGGCAAGGAATGGGACACTGCTAGGCAGGACCGATCCAAAGAAGATTTTTAGGGAAGCAGCACAGTAAAGGGTCACACGAGTCTGCTGTGTGTTCTTTCTTTTTCCCTTTTTCACAACGTCCAGGGTACTGTGAGTGATCCTTAGTCATGTTTGAGGAGGAAACCTACTTCTTCCAAAGAAACATCAACAACCTAAGTGCTGATTTTATAGAGTAACTTACATTAAACAAATTAGTAAGGAATGCTATCTAACACGTATTCGGTGTTTCCTAAAAGTGGCTTTAGCTTTAAAAGGAATGTGAATTACAGTAGAGGGAGAGACCTTTTATCTTCCAAACTCAAAAGATTACTTCTTTTACTGCTTATGGTTACTGTAAGCACTGTAGATCTGTGCTGATAGAGTCCATTTCTGTGAAAGACTCTGCCGCCTTAGAAAACCAGCTGAACCAAATCACTTCAAAGTCAGCTTTTCATGGATTTCAGGAAATGCTTGGGGGAGGGGAGAATCACTTTGTCATAATGCAGGTGACATTTTGTCAAACGAGGCATCTCAGGTCATTCAGTTACAGCTCTGTGGGGCACCGATTCTGCATTCGATGAGCAGCCAGAAACCAAAGGGTGCTTCACCCATTTCCTGCAAACAGCATTGCAAAACAGTCTAATGGGCTTTAACTTTCTTGGAATACAGTTTAGCCCCTAGAAATCACAGCTGCAAATCTGTATGCTTACGGTCTCTGGATCCTGGTGATGGAGCTAAGTCATAAGTTCTTTTAAAATATCAAGTCTATGCTCTTGTAGAGCACCAGGACTTTAAGACAAGAAACAGCTTTTTGAAGTCTAAAGCTGCCTGTACCTTTGCCCTGTTGTGTATGCCAATTTAAAGTGAGAACTAAGATATCCTTCCCCCAATGCATCATAACGATACAGTGTTTACAGCTTTGTGAAGTGCGTGAATGGCATTTCTAGACAGTTTTATTTTTCCCCCCCTGACATTCATATGGTTTGGTTGTGTCAGACAGCAACCTCTTCTTGCAGCTTTTAATAGAAATAAGGCGAGCCAGAGTTGGTGCAGTCAGCTCAGCCAAGGGTTCGATTCACTCTTTCAAAAGCCATGCAACGCTGTGGTCTTAACACCCTGTTCCTGCTCTCAGGGATTCAGAGGAGAGCTAGATTCCTGAGCAGATTCATCCGAGTACATTTTCTACTCGCATCTTTCTATTTTAGGGTTTTGGGGGCAGGAACCCTGTCTGCTGGGCTAGCACTAAAACAGGCTAGTTGAGTAGGGCAAGGAACATGACCACGTGGAGACCCGGCCGTTGTCTGCACTTACACACTCAACTAGCAGTGAAGTTTGCCAGCAGGATACGTACCAGAGCCTTTAAAACTAAAACCAGAGGTGCTTTTTTTTTTTCCAAAAACTTTCACAATAAAGTTTATTATCTTAATATCATTAAAAATACTATAAAATAATAAAATATTCTGCTTGGCAGAAAAATTATGCCAGGGTTTTAAAACCCCAGGTTTGTGCAAACAGTTTTTGTAAACATAGGAAGTCAAGTGTTCAAGTTCCATCCCAAAATACAGTAAATTGCTACAAAAATAAGTTTGCTCACTGTCAAACATGTTTAAAACCCCAGGAGACGGGATTTCTTGAGGCATCTCTCACACATCCCCATACAGTTAATGCTGTACTTATATCTGAAACGGGAAGGATTTCAGGTAGTCCTTTAAAACAGGATTGAGGGGGATCTGGTTTAAGTTGTCTCTCCCAAAAGTCTTCACGATGCTCTTCCGGCAGAGCTCCTGCAGGGGCTGCACGCGGACTTTGCGCAGGGGCGTAACCAGCACCTTCCGCGGGGAGCTTAGGTAATGTTCCAGCAGCTTAAAAAGACAGTCAAAGGTCTCCTTGCTGCCATCCAGGCTGAAACGCCCTGTCTGAAAGTTTATCCGGATGCTGGTGGGCCCAGTTGCAGTCTTAACACTGATGGCAAAGAAGCAGTTCTTCTGCATGCTGTCCCTGATGAGGAAGGTGCCCTCGGGCTCCGACTTGAGCTTCTCATGGGCGGCACTGACAGTCAGAGGCCCCCAGTAGAAGCCACAGGCATCCAGCAGACTGCTTGCTCGAGTGATGCTACTGAAATCCGCTTGCGAGCGGAACGTTCGGAAGTGTGTGTTGCTCTGTGCCTGCACAGCGCTGGGCCGGCCTGGGCCGTGGTAGCCTCGAGCCTGCAAACGGTCCCGCGCCGGAGGGTCGAGTAGACGTCTCGGGTCTGCTGCAACGGCATTATCTGCTGACACCTTGCTGTGCGCTACCATCCTACAGCCTAGGCCAGCGGATGCGGTCTTCCATAGCGTCAGCGGCTACGGCAGGGCAGCTTTCCAGCAGCTATTCTGAAACGCCAGAGAGAAGAGACACAACGTGAGATCCCTGGAGAAAAGCAGCTGCAGTCTCTGAATGGCCAAGTCTTCCATTCACATGCCTCGCACCCGTTATAAAGTAAGAAAATATTCATTTTCCAGTTTACACTGGGCAAACAGCTGCTCGCTTTCAGACAAGATTAGCAAGTCTATTGCTATGGCAAAGTCCAAAGCTCCAAAAATCTTTAGCAAGGATCCATAACAGCTGCAGAGGATAACATGGTTTCCCTGCTGTGAGCCCACAGAAGTTTACGAGGACCCAGCGTTAGTCAAGCGACAGGACCCTCTCAGTGAGAGGTGCTCTTGTGCACGCTCCAACCGATTCCCAAGATTTTAGAGAACAAAGCAACACGGTTTTTTACAACCGAGTTACCAAGTTCTCTGCACCTCCCTCTTTCACTTCCCCAGTCCCAGCTGAGATGGTGGAACTCGGACATCACCACTGCTTGGTGCATTATGTGAGAAAGAGAAAGCGGGTGAAGGAGACGTAAACTCTGCATCTGGGTATGTCTCTGGGTGGCTGGGGAAGAGGGTGAGGTGAATAGGTGCCGTTGTGCGACGGAGGTGTCACTTGGCAGGGCAGCCAGTTTACACATTAATCCTAAAGCGACTTTCCTCCCTCCTGTTAACCTGAGGCTCAGCCATAAAAGGCAGTTTCCCGTCCCCCCAGCTTTCCCTCGGGACAGCAGTGCTGCGGCCTTGCCAGCTGACACAAACCCACCTCCAGGAACCCTTCGAGCACTACTCCTCGGTCTCTTTTTCTGTATTACACGCACTTTAAGTGGCCTTGTCTAAATGGCTTCCTATCGATGCAGCTGTCGGCGCGAGGGACTGAACTCGTCCCTCGCGTTCCCTCAGAGGAACCGGCAGCGCTGCACGTGGCCCGCCTGCCTCCGCC